CTAACCAGGGCCTTGCCCTCTGCATCGGACCGAAGTCCGGAAACTGCATCAGACCGAAGTCCGGAACTAACCAGGGCCTTGCCCTCTGCATCGGACCGAAGTTCGGAAACTCCATCAGACCGAAATCCGGAACTAACCAGGGGCTTGCCCTCTGCATCGGACTGAAGTCCGGAAACTGCATCGGAACGAAGTCCGGAAACTGACTGAACATAGCATAACATAATCATAACTACTAACATAACACATATACTATATAATGCATCAGATCGAAGTCCGGAACACATAACATAAAGACATGCTTGAATCACAAAGACATCAAGCACCCTGAACTACTGCATCGGACCGAAGTCTGGAACTACTGCTGACTAAACGGGTCGGCATTGTGGCCGTAGACCCATTCCTACTGGAAGGAAAACTCACCTTGTAACGCTGGCTGTTGAGATGCTAAATCTGAAACTGGCTGACTGCTGCTCCGGAACTCCCCGGCTACAATCCCATAAACACTAAATCAGATACTGATAACTGTTCTCAGGGTAAAATGACTATTTTACCCCTGGTCAAAGTCAACATCCTGGTCAAAGTCAACTTCCTGGTCAAAGTCAAATTCCTGGTCAAAGTCAACTTTCAGTTGACCGGACTCGCCGAGTTGGGCCGCCAACTCGCCGAGTCCCTAACACCTTTTCTAATCCTCCACCCGCTTCAACTCGTCGAGTTGGGCAAAAACTCGACGAGTTCTTCTCCCATACTAACATCGAATCTAACTTCATCCGACTCGCCGAGTTGGATGAACAACTCGTCAAGTTCTCCTTCATCATATGAACACGTCCAGACTGTGACTCGACGAGTTGCATGAACAACTCGTCGAGTTCCATTCATGCTATTACTATACAGTCGATTCTTGTCAATTTCATTGCATTCAATCAATAGATCTGGGCTTCTAGGGCTGGTTTTACACGTAAAGTTTCCAACTTTACGTGCATGCACACGAGAATGGGGCTAGAACACCAAATTCATCCAATAATAAGAACTTAGGGTTTGGAACAAGGCTATATTTGCATAAAGGTAGTTACATTGAGCTCCTAGAGCTCAATAGCATCTAGATCTATGGTCTCCATCCTAAGGAGAGTTCGATTCTCGAGTTTGAATCATACAAAGCTCCAAGAGAACCATAAACAAGCATAAAAGAGGGTTTAATGGAAGAATAAGCAAGGTAATAACTTTATTACCAGAAAGTGTGGCAAGAGGAAGCTAGATTGTGGATCTCCTTTCTCTTCTATTGGTCTTCTTTCCTTCCTTCTCTTCTACAACTTCCAAGCTAGCACAAACCACTCAAGCTCAACAATAGGGACTAGGGTTTACAGAGAAATGCTCTAGAGGTGCTGGAGGCTGGGATGGGTGGCTATAATAACGTTTAAATAGGGTACAAACCCTGGGATTTAGGGTTTCATCCGGACCGGCGGACTCGCTGAGTTCGGAATAAGAACTCGTCGAGTCGCCCACTTAAGACGCGTGCATATCCCGTCCCAACTCGACGAGTTGGCTACCGACTCGTCGAGTTTCTCTTAAGAAATGAAATACTATATATATATAAATTACATACCAGAAATGGGGCGTTACAACTAACATGAAGAGAAGTATAACATTATAATTAGAATACTCTGATTTGCAAAAGCTAATTTGTTTTAAATTGATTATTCTGAGTATTATGATTTCGTTTAAATTTATATGTACTGTTAATAATACGTAATTAATGTGTATATATAGAATATTCTAATAGAATAATTATGTACTTTGTCTGTTCATGTAGAATAATATGCATAATGTTCTAGGATAATCTAAATTATATGTAAAATATTCTAATATTATGAAATTGTATGGAATATTTTGATATTAAAGTGTAATATTCTAAATTGTGTTATAACATATAAAATGAACTTATATTACATAATATTCTGATATTATATTCAATATTATGAATATACATAACATTCTAACAGAATAATTTAATTAGGTTGTCTATATTTAAGTTACAACTTAATATTCTTATAGAATAATGTTATAGGTTGTTTGTATATGTAGAACATTATAAATAGAATGTAACAATAAATGATTATATGAACATCAAATATCAAACCAGAATATAACAATATATATGTAAGAAAATTAAAATAATGCACAATTTATTTGTAAATACCAATGTAAAAGTAAAAACATAGAATATAGTGTTATCGTTTTATTCAATTACCTCAAAGACATCACTTGAAACCAAAAAAAATATAAGCAAATTTACAACATCCCACTACATAGAATGAGACTCTCTAGGAAATTATTATCGCACCACATTCTCTACAGTTCCATTCAATACTTACCTAAAAAGTTGTAATTATAGAAAACATGAAAGTTTTAGCTAATTTCATAATTGTATGTACCACTTTACATTGTGAAAGGGGTTTGATGGGTATTACTGCTGTAATGAAAATGTTTAAAGTTTCACAAATGTAGAGAACAATTTCATTAAGAAAGAAATAAAGAGAGTGCAAGGAGTAAATTAAACCAACATCCTCATTACAGATTTCGATTCTAAAGATGAACCAAGTCCTCATCATCGATCAACTTCTAAGCCACTTTAACTCTTTATGGACCAAGCACCATTGAAACCAACATGTCAATATGCTTCTTGAAGTTCTCATCATTAATTAATGGTGGTAAGATATGGATGATATGCTTCTTCTAACATATGCACTAAACATTTGCATCGATGACAATTGTATATCCTTCAATCACTGACAAAAAGAATAAGTACACCCAGTCATCACTAAGTTAAGAAAAATCATCTTGGAATTTGGGGTCAATATCATTAAATAGTAACAAAGTTTAAGGGTGGGAAGGAAGGAGTGATCTATCAGACTCTACATAAAACTCTCTATTCATTCAGGACTTTCATCAAACATGTAGAGTGTATGTATAATGTATGAGAATTGGCTCAAGAACAATAATAGTTTTGTACATACCTCATTGATTTTATAGAATGAGCACAAAATAACTCAAAGATACATTGTTTTTGCTTGCTTATCTTCATTTAATATGTGCTCGAATGCACAAAAAAAACAAAAAGCTTGAAATTGATAATCGATGGCTGAAAGCAAATACTTGAAATGATAATAGATTTAAGATGAAAGTTAAATTGATAAAACACCTGATTTGAGAGTAAAACTCGAAGCATCAATCAGATGGAAATCGATATCAGTTGATGATTAATTACCAATGTTGATGAATGGCTAAAAATTGTTCATCTAAAATTAAATTGAAGCTTGAAGTTGTTGAATATCATACTTTTAGTTACGATTCCATTAAATGAAGGGGGCAATTTTCTATGAAGGATTGGTAAAACTTGGTTGCGATTGAGAAATCATCAGCAAACAAAGGGGGGCGACTTCTCTGTTACGATCAATGTCTTGGTAAATGAATTGAAACAGATGAACTCGTAAATCACAAAAACTATAGATGTAGAAGAATGTAGAACATGATTAACCAAAGTCAATCAGATTATCAACTGCAGAAGTAGAAGAATGAAGAACATGAACTCGAAAAACAAAAAAAAAATGTACGACTTTAAAAGCTATGATTTAGCATTGTTCGATCAAGGTCAAACTCAAATTGATTACCGGTTGAAAGAATATAAGATAGAAGATAGAAGATCGACCTGATTTTTGTTAACAAATAAACAATAATTATGCTATAGAGGACACCATTTCAGAGTAAATTTAACCCATAAAAGTAGAACAAGATTGCAATTTTATGGCTCAATCTTTTAGCTTCATTTGTGCTTCATGATATTTTCTTGATTTTGCTCGATCTTTGCAACTTGATGATTAATTATCTCGAGTGTCTTCTATAAGAAAAAAGACTTTGAAACCACTGGTGTTGAAGTTACCACTGCCACTGAACACTGTTTACTACTCAGTACACATGTACAATCTTTATTGCCAATCCTATTTATTGGTCTACAACTTGCCAAGAAGCATCTAGCTGCCAGATACAATAATAAACCCCATGCCGAGATCGTTGACCACTGCACATAAGATTTCAAATCTCTTTTCAGTTATTATAAAAAATCAGTCTTTTTTACAAAATGTTTCTTTTTTTTATTCAGATATTGTATTCTTGGAGATGGTTGTCAAATGGAAGGGATTGCAAATGAAGCATGTTCAATTGCAGGCCATTGGGGTCTTGGAAAAGTTGATTGCTTTTTATGGCGATCACCACATCTCGATGATTTATTGAAGCTTGATTTGGTTTCCTTTGGGTTTGATTTGGAAGTTTGATCCTTGTTTGTGAATCTGCTATAGAAATAGTAGATATTAAACTTGATTTGATTGCAATAACTTTGAATTCTTTTCCTTTTGAAGAAAAATGCTTATATATCATTAGATTTCAGAACCTGACAACTTTACAACTTGTTGGATAGAAGGGTAAAATATTCATTTGTATTATGAGCACAACAATTTAGAACATATTTTCATTCAGAGCCTCTAAATCATTAGGGCCTATCATTTAGAGGTTGCCAACTACCCTTTAGTTTATACTCTTTTAACATAAAAATTATGTACTTATGTTATTTATATGTTTATAATAGTGTCCAATATTAATATCAACTGTGAAGATATATTAAAAATTGATACAAGTCAGTAGATTCTATTTATATTCTAAATTTACAAGTTTATATAACGTAATAAAGGTATAAACTATTATTGGAAATGGAATGACGAAAAATATAAAGATTTAAAAATGAGGTCATGAAAAGTTTTAAATGAAAATTAGTATGGTGTCTGGATTGGTGGGGCCATATTCTCAGCAAACATGAACCAACCAATTTTTTACAAAGAAAATTTAAAGGGTCCTAATAATCCACAAAACTTGCAAAACTTTTCTCACCTGTTTGGCTTAATTCAAAACTTCAATATAGACCACTACTGTTTTTCAAGAGAGGAAGAAACAAGATGGCATATGCACATGTCCAGATGTTCATGGAAAAGCTGAAGCAACTGATATACTCCAATGATATTCCAATGATCAACAACCCATCAATTTTATGTGAAAGGCCTCAATTCCAACTGCTTTATGAAGAGCTTGACTCCATGATCCAAACCCTTTTCAACCATGAAGACCAAGATCTACACAACTTTGAAGAAGTGAGAAAACTGAAGAAAAGATTAAAAGCTGCAGCTGAAGAGGCAGAAGATATAGTTGATATCTTTATATCATCTGTGCACGTTAGAAATAACGGGTATTTCACTATCTCTGATGTCTTTCAAACATCTCTGAACCTTGAGGATGTTATGAGATCAATTAAGTCTATCAAAGTGGAATTCATGACCACAAGAATCGATAATATGAAGATTGATTTGTCTCAAAGAACTGAGTCAGCTGCTGGAACTTCCAATACTACAAATTCACTAGGATCGAAGAAAGTATTAGAAGAAATGGTGGTGGGGCTATGTGGTGATGTTGTGCAAATGCAATCTGCTGGAACTTCCCGCATTAGAAATTCACTCGGATCGAAGAAAGGAGTGGAAGAAATCGTTATGGGGTTTGATCGTGATGCTGAGATAATACGGGACAAACTTGTTGAAGATGGAAAGAAGTTGGATGTGGTCTCTATTGTTGGTATGGGTGGAATAGGTAAGACTACCCTTGCTAAAAAAGTCTTCACTGATCCTTTTGTTGTTTATCATTTTTATGTCCGTGCATGGGTCACTGTTTCCCAAACATATGACAAACGGGATCTATTGATTCAAGTTTTGTCATCCATAGATAAACAATTAGAGCTTGAAGAAGCAACTGTTAGGATCGAGACACTTAACACACCACTCTAAACACACGAACAACAAAGATTTAAGGTGGTTCGGTCTATTTCTGACCTACATCCACACGAGGTAACTAGGAGTTTATATTTCTTGGTGCTAATATGCACTCACTCTTTGTTGCTAATTTTTACAATACAGATGAGACTCATATATAGAGTCTGAAGTAAACAATTGAACAAGAAAAGCAGCCATGAAACATGCATCCGGGAAATATGGATCACCTCTCCTTTTCCACCTTTTTGACTTGCTTTTCAACCACTAATATTTGAGTGGAATCATGATTTCTGCCACTAATATTTGAGTGGCTTCACCTACTCAACAATCTCCCACTTGAAGCCACGAAAAGCCCGGAATAATCTTCACATGTGCTTCAACTGTGCATTTGTATTTCCGTAAAACTTTTCATCTTAGCTCCTTCCTAGTTACCCACAGCCTTCTCTTCAATTTACCTGAAGGCTAGTGAAGAGCTTCCGTTAGCTCCAACACATCAGTCATGGCTAAGTATGCCACTGACCTGTTCTCTGTCTCCACCGGCTCCCACTGAAATGAACTGCCCGATCCTGGAACATCCTGGACAAACGACACTCTCCATGTGAAACAGATAATCTGGAGAGACTTTTTACAGATGGAATACTGGTTCTCTTAACCCACTGTGTTCTGGGTATCTAGCTGAAGCACACCCTCTCCCACCCTGCTATGATGCCCTTGACTGGTTTTTCTGAACCGTTCCAAACACGTTCAACTGAATCTGACCTGTGACTCTGGGTTTGCCATCTGCAAAGCAAACCTTCTTCTGTCCACGAGACTCTATGAACCGGATTTTGTTTTTCTTCTGAACTGGGACTTTACTCCCTCAGATGGTAATCTGACCATATATAATGAACCCTTCTATGTCCACGAGCTATCACAAGATTTCCTTTGACACCTTCACTGCCCATTCCTGAACTTAACCTCGTGTCCCTGTTCATCCAACTGCCCAACAGAAATCAATTGTTTCTTCAGACTTGGAATTACCCGGACATCCTTCAAAGTCCATGGACCAACTGGAGTCTTCAAAACTAAGTCACCTATGCTCGTCAAATCAAGAACTTCATCGTTCGCCAGTCTTACCTTACAAAATCTCCTTCTTTTCAGATTCTGCAGTGCTTCACGGCTGTGGGTAGCGTGAAATGAAGCACCCGAATCCATAACCCAGGAATCCACATTGCTCTCCACACCCACATACAGATCAAAACATCATCTCTGAAGGGTCTACTGCAGCGTTAACTTTTTCTTGTCTTTTGGACAATTGATTCCTGAAATGTCCAACCTCTTTACAGTTCCAACAAGTCACATCATTTCGAGTCCTCGACTGACTCCTTCTCCTGTTTCCCGCTCCCACTACCTCTGTTATTTTTTCTACCTCTGACCGCATTCAATTGTTCATTTGATGATTCCCCGGAATTCTTTTCTTCGTCTGACGTCTTCGCCTAGAATTAAATCCCGAATTCCCTCAAAAGTGAGCTCTTTCGATCCTGAGGAACTAGTAACAGCTGTAACTGTTCCGGACCAACTGTCAGGTAATGATGATAACGGTAGTAAAGCTTGAACTTCGTCTCAAATTTTATTCCCACTGACCCAAGTCTGGATAAAATCGAGTTCAAATTGTTGAGTGTACTGTAACTGAACTTCCTCTCTCATCCTCGTGTTGACTAGCTCCCGAATCAGGAAGACTTTATTTGCTGCCGACGGCTTCTCGTACATATTAGACAATGCCTCCATGATTCCCTTTGCTGAGGTCTCCTTCAAAATGTTGAAGGCAACATCCTTTGACAACGTCAGTCTAATAAATGCCTTGGCCTTCTTATCCAAAATCTCCCAGTTTGTCTGTGTTATCGCCTCCGGTTTTTCACCTAAAACTGCGTCCAAGTCTTTCTGCACGAGCAAATCTTCAATTTGCATCTTCCACCAACCAAAATCTTTCCCATCAAACTTCTCAATCTGAAGCTTACTGTTTTCTGCCATTTTCTGAAAGATTAGGGGCTAAACTGCAATTTTTCAAATCTGCTACAGTGTTGCTACAGTGCCTGCTGACGTCACCGCTGACGTCGTGCTACAGTGCTTGCTACAGTTTCTGTTGACGTCACCGCTGACGTCGTGCTACAGTACCTGCTACAGTGTCGTCTTCTCCGGCAGAATTCCGGTGCTACAGTGTCGTCTTCTCCGGCGGAACTTCGGTGCTACAGTGTCGTCTTCTCCGGCGAAACTGGTTTTTTCCGGTAACTATTCCGGCAACCTTTGACCGGCGATTTGGACGTCTTCCGGGGGTAAAAAATTCATAAAAAAATATTTTCGGAATCTTCGGAACGAGGCCTTTCCAACGGTATACACCAAAATCGTTTTTGGACGAAAAAAATTTCGACCAAAAAACTGAAAATCACCTTCTGGAGCTAAAACCTTGCTCTGATACCACTTGTTAGGATCGAGACACTTAACACACCACTCTAAACCACAAACACACGAACAACAAAGATTTAAGGTGGTTCGTCTATTTCTGACCTACATCCCACACGAGGTAACTAGGAGTTTATATTTCTTGGTGCTAATCTGCACTCACTCTTGTTGCTAATTTTTACAATACAGATGAGACTCTATATAGAGTCTGAAGTAAACAATGAACAAGAAAAGCAGCCATGAAACATGCATCCGGGAAATATGGATCACCTCTCCTTTTCCACCTTTTTGACTTGCTTTTCAACCACTAATATTTGAGTGGTATCATGATTTCTGCCACTAATATTTGAGTGGCTTCACCTACTCAACAGCAACAGACTCTCAGCTTCATGAAAAGTTGCACAAACGCCTAAATCGTCAGAGATATTTGATTGTCATTGATGATATTTGGAGTACAGAGGCATGGGATAAGTTGAAGTTATTTTTCCCTGATGATAACACCGGAAGTCGAATTCTCCTTACGAGTCGCCTCACTGAAGTTGCTGCGAACGCAAAATCAGATGGACTCATTCATCATTTAAAGCATTTGACAGAAGAAGAAAGTTGGAAGTTGCTTTGTGAGAAGGTGTTCAAAGGAGACGAGTGTCCCAAATGGTTGATTGATCCTGGAATGCAAATTGCAAG